GGGGACCCAGCACCCCAATATATACTGTATACCGAATGTGGGGGACCCAGCACCCCAATATATACTGTATACCGAATGTGGGGGACCCAGCACCCCAATATATACTGTATACCGAATATGGGGGACACAGCACCCCAATATATACTGTATACCGAATGTGGGGGACCCAGCACCCCAACATATACTGTATACCGAATGTGGGGGACCCAGCACCCCAACATATACTGTATACCGAATGTGGGGGACCCAGCACCCCAATATATACTGTATACCGAATATGGGGGACACAGCACCCCAATATATACTGTATACCGAATATGGGGGACCCAGCACCCCAACATATACTGTATACCGAATGTGGGGGACCCAGCACCCCAACATATACTGTATACCGAATGTGGGGGACCCAGCACCCCAACATATACTGTATACCGAATGTGGGGGACCCAGCACCCCAACATATACTGTATACCGAATATGGGGGACACAGCACCCCAACATATACTGTATACCGAATATGGGGGACACAGCACCCCAACATATACTGTATACCGAACATGGGGGACACAGCACCCCAACATATACTGTATACCGAACCTGGGGGGGACAGCACCCCAACATGCTGCATATTAAATATGGGGGAGCAGAGACACACCCCAACATGCTGCATATTAAATATGGGGGAGCAGAGACACCCCCAGACTTGCTGCATATTATATATGGAAGAGAAGAGACACCCCCAGATATGATGCATATTAAATATGGTGGAGCAGAGACACACCCCAACATGCTGCATATTAAATATGGGGGAGCAGAGACACCCCCAGACATGTTGCATATTATATATGGGAGAGCAGAGACAAACCCCAACATGCTGCATATTATATATGGGAGAGCAGAGACACACCCCAACATGCTGCATATTAAATATGGGGGAGCAGAGACACCCCCAGACTTGCTGAATATTATATATGGGAGAGCAGAGACACCCCCAGACATGCTGCATATTAAATATGGGTGAGCAGAGACACACCCCAACATGCTGCATATTAAATATGGGGGAACAGAGACACCCCCAGACTTGCTGCATATTATATATGGGAGAGCAGAGACACCCCCAGACATGCTGCATATTATATATGGGAGAGCAGAGACACCCCCAGACATGCTGCATATTATATTTGGAAGAGCAGAGACACCCCCAGACATGCTGCATTTTATATATGGGAGAGCAGAGACACACCCCAACATGCTGCATATTAAATATGGGAGAGCAGAGACAAACCCCAACATGCTGCATATTTATTATGAGGGAGCAGAGACCCCAAGCATACTGCGTATTAAATAGCAATATAAAGTTTAGCAGCTGGAGAGATTTTGTTTATTTTTTCACAAGTAGCAGTTCAGAATATGCTCAACCTTTGTGTAATGTGTTTTATATACTTAATTTGTATTAAGCAATTTATATTTCATACAATCTAAATTAAAGAAACTAAAATCCAAATATGTCCCAATCCTTAGTGACCCAAACTACTAAAATATATTCATTGAATGAGCCCAGAATTGGCACCAACAAATTTGGAAACTGTAAGAATTATTTCCCAAATATGCCCATAAATAAATATGCCCAGTGGCTACTGCATTCAATTGAAATACTGATGTCATCACATAAACGTAATTGCTATTATTATTAATTTGCATTTTAAATGGGCAAATTATTCAGGCAAAGGTCTGCGATAGAAGCTCACCCCAGGCACCAAAAAAAAGTACAGGTAAGTGATGCAAAACAAAACTCTTGCCTTTGGGAATAATGGTTGGGTAATCTGATAGACTTAAACTCAAGGCAAAAAGTGTGTGTGGGGGAGATAGGGCTTCAGTGCTTGCTCGGTAGCCTGTATTCACCAAGCTCTGTGTGCTTTTCCTTTAACTACATTTTGTATAGATTTTGGTCTTTACTGCAGCACCACTTCTTAGAAATGCATATTCTGGGTGTTCCCCCAATTCCCATTTTTTTCTGTGTAGATTCCATCTGGGCTGAGCATCTCACCCATCCATCATGGGTGTCCCTTTTGGGATGAGTACTCTGCTATAGGTTTTGAGGAAACACACATGTTCTCCATGCTTGAAATTGTCTCATGGAGTAACCAGACCTTACGCATTTCAACGGAGTCTTCAGAATGTGCAAACTGGGTACAAAAATCCAGAACCTCTGGAAGACACTCGAAGCATTTCCATTTATGATGATCACCAGTTCTTACAAAGACTTGAGATATGATAACAGAATTGTACTATGTGGTCCAAAATAGTAAATAGAGCGGTTTCTGTTGAATTTTTCCAATTTTGCTAATTTGGACTACATTTATTTGGTTATCGATTTGCCTTTGTTTAAAGCCCTGGTGAGTTTTTTGTTAACTCACTGTTTCTAGTACTTGAATGTAGGTGAATCTGGAAATTGTATATGTATGATATGAAACAGTTACAACTTACAAAAGCAGTGAAAGATAATGGTGAGACGAGGCACAGGGTTAGATAAGGAGACACTGCGTTGGGTGACAGCGCACTCGCTGTACTGTAAAGAAACAGTCCAGATTCAGGAAGGAGAATTTATTATTCTGATTTACATTCAATGGTAGACAAAAGTACAAATAAATAGGTACATCTCTGTTTCACGTTCCTGGGTAAGTCGTAAACATTAAACTGCTTTGCTTGAATGTAGAAAATGCACAACAGTTATGGCTTCTCGGCAAAAGGAGTTGACCAATGCCAAAGTCTCTTTTGCAGTTCATGTCATGGCGGACTATACAGTAGGGCACAAAGTGCATGGAACTTGGTGTCATGGCAGTAATGACTAACATTTTGCAATTCAGATCTTGTGCACGGTGTTGTTTTTTCTGCTTGGCCAGCCATATGGCAAACGTCAGTCATCACGGACGTATTAGGTGGGGTCAAATCAGAGTGTACTTTATATATCAGACTGCTTCAAGAGCGTGCTATAACATTCAAACACAGTCCATCTGCGCTTACATTTAAGGACGACGTGCAGCCAAACCATCGGGTGTGTAAATTCTAATCCACATGAACAAGGAAGACAATCCCCGTTCTATTTACCTAAAGAACTCTCTAATTTACAACTGAAACCTGTCACATTAAGAAGACTTTCCACCCGGCAAATAAAGCTAGCTATTAAATTCATTTGATTTTATAGATATTTAAAATGTTCTGTTTATATATGTACATATATGGTTATAATTGTACTGTGATGCTGGAACCGCTTTATCAGAAAAGTCACAGACAGGGCATTTCATGCAAAGTAGCCTATTTCCCATGATTCCCAATTCATTTCCTGCACAAACATCTTGCTTAAGTTGGAATAACTAGCAGGAATCATGGGAAATATAATTATGACTGGCATAAACAACAGAAAAATGTGAAAATTAAGGATGAAAAAGAAGGCATTAGCTGTGTTGAAGGCCGAGGTATGATATTTTTATACACCTTCTGCTTGCTATATGACAAAAGGTTATGCAACACTACAGCTTACTGAGATGAATACACTTTCAAATATCATTCTTCACTTATTCTTCTTTTTCTAATTTTTTGAAATTATTTAATGCATGTCTATCTTTGCAGACATACTATTCAGATATAGGAGGGGAAGGATTGTTGAAAAGTTTTAAAAGTAAAATCTTTAAAGGGGGACAGTCACTTCCCTGGAAATTTCACAGTTGAATAAAACACTGTAAATTGCCTAGAACCGGTGTTAATTCTCATTTGATACGGTTTTCTTTTACATATGTAATTATAGATGAGCAATTTACAATCATAATCCGGTTCAGTTCTAGCACATCCAGGGCACTCACTGTACTGGGGAGAAATACAAGCATTGTTTTTCTGATCTTTTTTGCGCTCTATGCTGACTGTCAGGTGCCAAGGGCAGAACCTATAACAATGATTGGCAGGGAGCTAAGAGTGAGGTTTAATAAATATATTGTGAAAACAAACCACAGAAAGTCCTGGGAAGTGACAGGTCTCCTTTAACTTGGGGGGAAAAATGTAAATGTAACAGTTCGTGATAGCTCAGAGTTAACCTCCACTATGTAACTTGCAGCACCTGGATAATGATACTGGGTGGCAAAGCAACCAATATTGCTTGAAGTTTTACTGAAAACGTTATGTAAACTCGAGAGGACTTGAGAGTGAATCCAGGCTTAGCTGTGATGTGACTGTGAGGGTCACATTCAAACATCAGGAAATCTTAAGCAATAAAACACATTTACTAATAACACGTTAAAACAAAAACAAAAAAACACATTAATGTACAGCTATGTAAAATTACAAACACCATAAAACAGATTAAAGAGTGATCAGTGCAGAGTGCAGGGAATCAGAATTGCCACATTCATCTTCTTTTGTTGGACGCGAAAAACTACCTGCGGGAAGTCAATGAAAAGTGCTGGCCAGAAGTATGTACATTCATATGCTGCAGAAGGGAAATCAACTGACCAATCAAAGCAATTTCTTCAGGAGTCCTCTTGGATTACTGAATTTACTTCATTCATGCAGCAACTGAATACTACCTACTACAGGGCATCACTCTTTAGGTACAGCCCACCAGCATGCAGAAGTGATATGGTCTCAAAACATGGTGGATCTGGCAACTCGACAGGGAATTAACTCACAGCGGGTGGACAAAATAATGGAAACACCACAAGAAAAAATGTGTTTGACTGTAGGGATGCAGCTACGAGGATTAGTTTGATTTAGCTGATTGGCAATTAGGAGTATGTGTCAACAATAAAAAGGAGTCTGACAATGATATGCAAGGTTCATCGAGGAAATACAAAAGCATGAGGAATGGTCTCAAACATGACTGTAGAATAGGCCACGTGTGGATGAACTGCTTCTTTAAATAGGAGCCATGATCAATTCTCACTAATGACATCTCACAGGATAGCTGCCAAATTACATCAAAGTGTAGTCTCAAAAAATATCCAAGAAGTGAAAAAGCACCTCTCTGACTCACTCTCATCAAAAACAGTATGCAGCTTTTCCCCCCAAAGGTGGCGATTATTGCATCACTGTCATTTGGACACCAAAGGTTCCACTCACAAACACTCATAACTTTGTGTACCCCAGCGCAATGGGAAAAATAATATGGTCTGATAGGGCATTTCCATCATAATTTCAACACCCAGACCAGTGCCTGCAGAAGGTCAAAAGATAACTTTAACCTATAACACCAGGTCCGATGATTGTTTTGCATGGTCAAAGAACGGAAATCACATACTCTATGGTGCAATACTTGTTCCATTACAATGTGCTTATATCCCAGAACGGTATGGCCCCATAAACAAAGCTTAAGAAATGCATGCTAAATAAACTCAGGAGTGCTTTCATGAATACTGCTAAGAATGAGCCCAAACACTTTCCTCAGTTTCCCAAATTGCCAGATCTAAGCATTGATGAACCGTTACAGGGAATTCTGTTACTCAGAGGATGCAGTAGATGTCAACTTCCTTCGACACGTAAAACATGGATGCTTTTCTTCATGCAGATTGCTGCAAAATCCAACTACATAACACTCAGTGTATGAGAGTAGAGCAATAAGGAATAATGTTCTTCTGTGATCCTATCCCATATTTAGGGGTTTCCATTGTTTTGTCCACACCCTGTATTGTTCTGGACATGTATGTCCATACACACAGCCAGAGGCTCATGACAAGGTGTGAGTTTCTGCTCTTTTGTTTACTACTTGCTAACCGTGTTATTTTAAAAGCTCTTTCTTACCTATTTCCACATTAGTGAGTATGGAAGTCCATCCACACTGTTATACAAAGCTATTAATGTCACAGTATAGGCTGAGTGCACATTTTCTTTAGACCCCTGTGTAGCATTGTCCTTCATGCGGGACAGAACTCCATCTCCATGGCTTGTGTTCTGACCTGATGAACAGGACTTCTTTCTCCTCTGTGCAGGTTATTTTACAATGTATTTTTTCAAACAATATTGAGTCCAAGCAGGGAGATACTTCCTGTGATTATTTGGGAACCAGGCCCCTGGACTGAGGGAAAAGCGAAGATCCAGCAGAGCTTGCAGCAGAAGCAGACCGTCTGCCAGTTTTAGGTCTGCAAGAAAATACATAATCATTAAGATCAGATTAAATGGGTTATATATATATATATATATATATTTTGTATTAACACTGTATATATTATGCAAGCACACACAAGCATACATCATTTAACATATATAGGTGTAGGAGTGAAAAAAGGAAAATAATTGCAGTCACCCTAAACTGTATGTAAAGTACAGGTTATGTACAATCTTATAATCTGATTGTCTTACATCCTGAAAAAAGTTTCTAAGTTTGTTATAAAATGTCTGCTTTTAAACCAAAATATTTAATTTTGTAGTAAATTAATAATAAAGGGTAGGTAGCTTAGAAGGTTTTAATGATAACGCAGAGTCTTCCCAATACTGTGGTGGAGGAGGTAAACCCACTGGAGGTGGGACCGCTCTTGGTGCAGTTGGGTCCACTCTTGGTGGAGGTGGGTCCGCTGGGACCACTCTTGGTGGAGGTGGGTCCGCTGGGACCACTCTTGGTGGAGGTGGGTCCGCTGGGACCACTCTTGGTGGAGGTGGGTCCGCTGGGACCACTCTTGGTGGAGGTGGGTCCGCTGGGACCACTCTTGGTGGAGGTGGGTCCGCTGGGTCCACTCTTGGTGGAGGTGGGTCCGCTGGGTCCGCTGGGTCCACTCTTGGTGGAGGTGGGTCCGCTGTTGGTAGGTTTGTTCTTGGTGGAGGTCGGTCCGCGCTTGGTGGAGGTCAGTCCGCGCTTGGTGGGTTCGTTGGCGGTAGAGTTGGGTCCGCTGGTGGTAGAGGTGAGCTCACTGGTGGTGGAGATGAGGCTGTACAAGGGGTGCCAATTAGCACACTTCCTCCTGTAACCTCCCTTAGTGAGGGTTGGAGTTAAAGCTACAGAGATTATTCACTGTAGTTATAAAGAATAGAGCTCTGAGAAAAAAATAAAAATAAAACTACACAAAATTACTATTGACACACTATTTATTATTGTTCTACGCAAATCCGCTGGTGGTAGAGGTGAGCATGCTCACTAGTGGTGGTGTGCCCGCTGGTGGTAGAGGTATGCTCGCTGGTGGTAGAGGTGAGCCCGCTTGTGGTAGAGTTGAGCCCTCTTTTGGTGGAGGTGAGCCCGCTGGTGGTAGAGGTGAGCCCGCTGGTGGTAGAGGTGAGCCCTCTTTTGGTAGAGGTGAGCCCTCTTTTGGTAGAGGTGAGCCCTCTTTTGGTAGAGGTGAGCCCGCTGGTGGTAGAGGTGAGCCCGCTGGTGGTAGAGGTGAGCCCGCTGGTGGTAGAGGTGAGATCGCTGGTGGTAGAGGTGAGATCGCTGGTGGTAGAGGTGAGCCCGCTGGTGGTAGAGGTGAGGCTGTACAAGGGGTGCCTGCCTAGTTAGCACACTTCCTCCTGTGACCTCCCTGAGTAAGGGGTGGAGTTAAAGCTACACAGATTATTAACTGAAGTTAGAAAAAATTGAGCTCTGAGACAAAAATGAATACACAAACAAAATAAACAAAAAACACTATTTATTATTGTTCTACCAAAATGCCTGCCTAATGCATGCCACAGGGGGTGAGGGGTGGTGATTACATTTATCCTTTCCTTTTTTTGCATATGGCAACTTTCACATACCTTGCTTTTGTTCTTTTACTGGCTGTACTCTCAAATGATGATGCATCCACTTGGATATCCTCTTCATCCTGTAGGGCAGCGTCTAAAGCAGCCTGAACTTTAGGAGCAACTGCTGGGCCTTCATAATCTCTTGTTGTGCGGCTCGGCATATCCAGCTCCAGTAGTAAAATATTTTCTGCCTATAAAAAACAAAAAACAAATCAACAACAGGTGGGTGTCTTCACCCATTATATTATTGATCCCTCGTCCAGAGCCATCGCTTACCCGGTACCTTGCATCAGGTTTCATCATCATACTCATCTTAGCATGCTGACTCAAGGGTCTCTTATAGCCCACTGCGGAGACAGGACGTCTCATCATCTGCTGGTTACTGCAGAGACCCAGAAAATTATAGGTCACCAAACATGCAGAGGAAGAAATCTATATCCTTAATATTTAATGATTTGAAAGTGCAAATTAGAGACACATACTACCAGTGACAAATTGTAGCTAGACAGCATGCAGTACACACACGCATGCCACCATGGACACTCACTCCAGCCTGGTGATTGGGTGAAATTTCCACTGATCCTCCTCTTCATCAAAATATCCCCTGTTCAGCATTTTGTTTTTCTCCTCCAGAGGTAGAAAATTCTCAATAATTAGATGCCTGCGTTAAAAGAAAATTTAGAAAAAGTATGTTCAGAAAGTCACTGTAACAATGTGGTCAGCAGACGAATCACTAATAAAGTTCTACAACAAGAAGGCTGTTCACACAGAGTTTTGGTATTTAATCCTAGTTAAGTTATATTATTAGGATTTCTGCCTGGTGATGCTACTTTGTTTTTGACATTTTCAGTCTCTTGCCTACATCTTGTCTGGTTTTTACACCGTTGGGTACCAAGCATTGGCACACATGGTAAATCTTTCAAGCATACCTACTTCCTTGCCAACCTGTCTTCCTGGTCTAAAAATCAAGTTGCTTTCGCAACAGAAGTCACCAGAGTATTTTCGCCCGGAGAGGATCTTTGTCAATGAAGTACCTAGCATTTTCCCAGTCAAATCTAATCATTAGGGGGTTGGTTTTTACCATTATTACTTACATATTCATTATACAGTCGCCATTTTTTTTTTATATATATAAAGCAGAAACTGTAAAAATCTTGTAGTATTAAAGCATGTTTCTAAGCTGAATTGTTCTTATATGCATAAAGCAGTGTCCACACAACATGTTGGCGTGACCTATAACAAGTGATTCATATTAATACTGACCCACCCTACGATCGCTCAAAGGATTACTGCATGTTGTGCAAATATTTTACTAGCCTGATATTTTTAAGCACATTTTGCGTGTGCATGTGTGTATATATATATATATATATATATATATATATATATATATATATATATATATATATATATATATGTTTTAACTGACTGTTTTCGAAGAGATTTGTATTTGGGAAACAGCTGCTTAAAGTAATTTCTTAATTATTTATTCATTTTTCTTTATTGTTAGCCTAGCAAAACTTATATTACACAGACATCTGGGCTTCAGCTGGCACAAAACCCTATACGGTCATTCCTTGAGATCCTCACACAGCCGAGTGAGATTTTATGCCAGTTTATGACATCACAGTGTTATACTACATTTTATAAAACTTCTCAAGAAATAGCCTTCTCAAGAGTGGGCGCCCTCTGCTGTTCCCTTGTGATAAGGAATTGGGGTAGAAAATCCCAGGGGGCATTGAAATTATAGCACCTGCATTTGCTTTTTTTCATGACTTACATAGCACATCATTATTGGGATCCGACACAGGAACAAACATTCTGATAGCAGCAAGTCAACTGTCCTCATCTAATATGCCAGTGTCCTATCTGAAAACACAGGCTATAGTTTTGATTTTGCTTTCTTCTCAGGATATCGATTTGTTTTTCCCAAGTCAGTTTAAACTTTTCTTCAAGGCTAGTCTTTCTATATGCTACTCAAACGCCATCAGGAATGTATCAAACGTGTTAAATAATCCAGCCATTATAGGGAACACATTGTGAGTCTGTACTCACCTGGGAACCAGTGGTGTTAGTAGTGCACACAAGGTAAGTGCTCAAGCACTACAGAATATAGAAAGAAACCTAAGAAAGTGGACCATGCTCTGACAAACCCTGTCTAGTGGGCAAGGCACAAATCCTGGGGTCTCTGAATCACCATGTTCCCAGACACATCAATAAGGCAAGCTACAAGGAGTTAAACACATGCTGAATGAGCATCAAATCAGAAAGACTGCAACAGGTGAATGCTGGGAAATGTTCTAGGAACCTGGCAAAGAGTAACCTATAAGCTACTATCACAGACAAAGTATCTGTCAACATGGTTCTATGTTCTAGGGACCGTTGTTCTATGTTGCTAAATTCATAGCTCTTTCTTCTATGTTCCAGCATTCACATACCTCTCTTTGTTCTATGTTGCCACATTCACACACCTCACTCTCTTTGTTCCATGTTCCCACAGTTACTCATTTCCTTATTCCCCTGTTCCTCTCTTTGTTCACCCTCTACCCATTCCCTTAATACAAACAGCTTTGACTCTCTTTGACCAGTCATTCATGACCTACCTTCCATCCACCAGTCACCCATCATCATTTTTCTGGCATTCTTTTCTGAGCCTCCTTTCACCGTACCTTACTACATTATTTAGGACAAGTTCCACATTCCCAGTTACTTACTTCAGTTTTAGTTCCCTAGTGAGCTCATTCTGTGTCTGTTCCAGCTCTTGTCGTTCCTTAATGTGCTCCTCTTGAATATCGTGGATCTCAGCTTTCACTGCTTGCAACTTGGAAAAGAGCTGGGAAAGAGAAACAATATCAAAAACAGATTTTAGACACCGTCCTCGGCAGAAAGACGTTTTTTTCTAACCCTGACACGATGAAGAGTCCTCATTGTTTTAAATAATAATTGATGGACCCTGCTGATCACTTTAGCAGTTTAATGCTCATTCACATCATTCACTACCTTTTTAAGTTTCTTTGTCTTTATATCGACCTCTTGTTGTTTCGAGCTATAAGTTTCTTTCAGCTCCAAGGTTTCCTCGTCTCGATTCTCCATTTCTTGTTGCATCTCCCTTTCGCGTCGTTTCTAAGGGACAGTGATAAGAAGTTCATGCCTGTCTGTGTGGGTTTGCATCATTTTCTACGTTAATGTGTTTTAAACAATGTATCAGACTTGCCTGTTCTGCAATTTCTTGACGTTTCTGCTCAAGAATCTTCTGCTGTTCGTTTGTGTGGTCTACAATGTTCTTTCCTCCCACAAGAAGTTTGCTTTCCATTGCCTGGAAAAACAGGACCACTCTAAAATTTACCACAGTGTCACCAGTAACTCAACAAACCAAACTAAGGGGCAATCAAGTTGGGCACAACTAACCAGGGTATGCATTACATGTACCCACTTCTTAGTATTACTGAAAATCTGTTCAGAGACTGGGTGCAGTAATATGGACAAATGAGGCCTTGATATAATTTAGGTAGAACTGTAGAGGACAGGAACTGGGTATCTAGCTGTTCACAGTGCAGTTATATGTTTTATTTACCTTGACTTTTGAGCTCAGCATTTCCATAGCTTCTCTCTCTTTTTTCAGGTCCTCCATTTTTCTTTCCTTCTCTTTCAATAACTTCAATTTCTCTTCGGCCACCAAACTGTGATCTTCCACAATGGCCTTCTTCTCAGACTCCAGGCGTTCCTGTTGCTCCCGAAAGTAATCTTTATCATCCACCTCTTCTTCACCTTCAAAAGAGTCTCCATCTTCATCATCCTCCCCTCCAAGATCTCCTCTTCTTTTCCCTCTTCTTCGCCTTTTACCAACCACCCTTTTTTCCAGCTGTGCCTTTAATCGTGCAATCTCTTCTTGAAATTCACGAAGTAAAGCATCTTTAGGATCTTCATTAACTCTTGGTTTGTTCTTGATATTTTTGGCACGGTTAGAGTAACGTAAAGTTGTCAGTGTCTCTTCCACGTTGTAGGAAGCCGGACCTATATTAGCCACCATGACAGTCTTAGCATTGCCTCCGAGAGAATCTTGTAGTAGTCTGGTGAGTTTGGAATCCCTGTATGGTATGTGCGTGCTTCTCCCATCGACAAGGGCAGAGATAACATTTCCCAAGGCAGAAAGGGAGAGGTTAATTTTTGTGGCCTCTTTCAGTCTTTCTCCCTGAGCTCCGGTTTTTGCTTGCCGTTCACTTCCTGCCAAATCTACCAAATTTAGCTTTCCCACGCGGATATGGTTCTCACCATCTAAACCAAGCTCACTGCACTCAACGGTGATCATAAAAATGGCGTGAGAGCGTGAGCTATGCTCATTCATGTTGGTGGCTCCAACAGAACGGTTCTGGTTGCCCACATTCATGACATGTTCTATCTCCTTCACGCTCTTCGTGACAAAGGATGAAAGGTCTTTGACGTACACACCGGTGTCTGGTCTTTCTTTAAGCTCCAAGCGCTTGCTTTGATCTTTGGAGAGTAGATCTCGGATTTCTTCCTGATAGATCTCCAGGTAAGAGGCTCTCACAAGATACTGTTGGTTCTGAGACCTTGAGATGTGAGTGAATATGTGCTCAAATGAGTTGGGTATGACCCCTCTCTTTTCTGGATCACCACGCAACCCTTCCATTGTGTATGTCTTTCCGGTACCTGTCTGCCCATAAGCGAAGATTGTTCCATTGAAACCAAGAAGGACCGAATCTACTAAAGGCCGGAATGTCTCATCGTATAATTCCACCTGCTTGGAGTTGGAGTCGTACACTGCATCAAAGGTGAAGGTTTTAGGCAGCTCGTTAGCAGATCCTTTGGTAATTTTTACGGATACCTGCCCGAGTTTCACATCCACGTTAACTACCTTTTCAAATCCGGCAGACAATTCCTTGGAGTTCATAGGTCGGCATCGCACCACCACACGCACAGACTCGGAGCTCTTGGGTTTTGACATCCTGGGTCTTTGTAAGGAGCTTGGCACTCAGAACAAACTCCAGGCAGGGTTGCCACTTAGAACCCTAGATAAACAAAACAAACAAAAAAGTTAATCAATTTTCATCTAATTTTCAGTTTTTGTATTTTTTTTCCCCCAACATTCTGTTTAGCATTCAAAACCTAAAAAAAAAAAAAAAAAATAGAAAGATTTTTCTTTTTGTTAAGATTAGGAAGTTTGAAATATAACGGTTTTTGGTCGTGGTATTTAAAAGACCAGCTTTATACACTGCAAAGAATTTTAGCAATTTACCTCCAGTCTGGAATGTAAGTTTAATATTTGAACCATTAGTTTGCAGCGTGGTGAAGCGATGTAGAGGTATTGAACAACAGATTGCAAAGGAATACTTAGTATGCGGTCTGTGTACTGTGGAAACTCTCAGCAGCATGTGTCCTGCGCTGAGCGCTCTGCAAGGTCAGTGTGTCACAAAAGTAGGTCACAGGAGAAAATGGAAAGCCAGCGATGAGCTGGGGATGCAGAACAGAGATGAAAATTCCCGCTAATCTTGGCAGAAAAAAAAAAAAATGTGTGTTCAAAATAAATAAACAAAACACTGGGTAAAATACAGAAGTGTATATGATTTCCATTCCACACAGATAACAAGATTGTCGTGACACAAATCTTGAAAGCTCCTAGGACATAACAGAGCTGTCCTAAAATTTCATAACTCAAACTCTACTTTAGGGATATTTTAAATAGCCACCATAAGTCAGTAATAGGTAGACAACATGTTAGCTGTCATAAGAGAGCTAGCTAAGCATTATGAGAGATGTTCTACAGTAGCAGGGGATAAACGTTTGGGCCCCTATAGTATATTGTACCTTGATGCTCTTCTGGCTGCCTCCCTTTGACTCAGAGCAAAACATTTATAAGAATCCCTACAAGAATATGCAGAGTAGAGCAATCATCATAGCAACTAATACAATGTCCTTGTTAATTCAATGTTTCCACGGTGACTACCTTAAACACTTTGCATCTTTTTTGCTATTAGAACAGCTATTAGAAATCTCCCGCATTGCATCTTGCCACCTCTTAACTTGCATATTATGTCCATTGTTAGTATTATAAAGCACCCTGCAACAACAAACCACAAAATTGTAAATTGCATTCAGAAGACATTAGATGGAACCTTATTTTGTGGGATCATTAACTCCTGATGAAGTCTATGTTATTGCACGGAGCGTTTGCTGTGGTCACATGACTAAGTTCCAACATTAGAGAGATTCGTTATTTTGCATTATACAGAGAGGGATCCCACAATAAAGGCCCCATTTGTGGTCTGAATCAGATAACGAGAAGTGGACTGGTTCTGGGTTACCGTGGCCATTAATTTTTGCACAAAAGTAACAACTTTGTAAGTTTTAACTTTGTGTGGGGTTTTAATTATGATAAATTATACCATTTTGCAACAGTATAAGGGTGTTGCCATTTTTAAATTTTCTGTAATTTAGCAAAAAATGATACGTTATTACTTCCAGACAAATTCACAAAGAAGGTAAGACAAGAACCACGAAAATGCAGTGTCTCGTACATGAAGAATAGAATAAAAATAAGACAAAGCTGTTAGTCCAGTGTGGGTTCGCGAGAAAAGATGGTGACGAGGTAAGTGAAGTAGTGATGCTTGGCAAGGTAGAGAGAAGGGCTAAATGGGTACAGCACACAGTTATGTGCAAGATGCATATCTAATAACGTTTTAACTGGTCAGAGGGACACTTTCATTTCAGAGGTGTGTGTGTGTGTATATATATATATATATGGGGGGCTATTCTGAGACATTTTAGGTGACATGCCAATAACAATTTAGCACCTAAAATGTGATTTAAAACTGGAACAATGTATCCTTTGTACACAGACTGATTTCTAAACATGTTTATTGTAGTTTAAAGACCCATTACTGGGATACACCAATAATATGGAGCTCCTAGAAGAGAGGGACATTAAGATATAAAAGAGAGACAGAGGGTTTTGGTCCCAAAACAGGGACTGTACCTTCTAAATAGGGACATTTGGAATGTTGGGAGCAGTTTTTCTGTGTAGTGGGTTGAATTTGTGTGCCAGGGTTGTAGTTTTGACTATAGAAAGTAACAGATTGTTATTACCTCTGCATTCATTATCACAGATGAAAGAGAGAAGTTGTGCAGAGACATTACTAAAGTAGGACAAGATTTGCTTTAGAGAGGAGATATAGATCTAGAGCTACTGGCTATGGTTGTTGAGGAGCAGAGGACACAATGATATTGCAGAATAGAAGGGGTGCGGTGAAAGACATGTTGAAGACGCTATAATCTATGAAAAGACTGGAGATCAGAAGGTCAAAACTGTTATCAATGTTGTGCTGGTTCATTGCATAAGATTATAGGAGAAGAGGTAACAAGAAGATATATACAATAAAAATACTTTTCCAAGAAAAGGCTACATGTGAATACTTTTCAGAGTGTGGCAATAATGAGTGGCTAATTGACTGACGGACCAGGCTACCAATGGTAACAGTATAATATAAATATGATCTGAACACTGAGCAAATCTGCTGACAATAAATAAATAAATTCAAATATTTAGGTGTAAAGTTAGATTATCAAAAGATGGATGTAATTGTGAACACACCTTAGGAACAACACAGAAGTAATTTACACCTCTAAACAAACCATTATGAATTGCTGCATTTAGCGAGTTTAACCCCTCTACTGCCGGATGTGCACCTCTACCTTCGGTAATAACACTGAGGAATCATTAGCCAGCCCAGAACTAGCCTTCCGAGCTGCCTAATATCAATTAGCACGAATCTCAATTCCCTGCATATTTCCTTGCAGAGATGCTCCTTCACTGGCTGATAGAGGTCAGTTAATGCTCTCAGCCAATGAATGAGCAGTAAGATCAGCATCCGGCTATGAAGCAGACAGATGTCATAAACCAGCCTACAAAGTAGAGTAGTATAGCCTGGCAAGCCTGGTATGATGGCAAACCATTGCAAAGCATAAAACACGCCAGCAGGCTCAAGTGCTTCGGGGGACTGGAGTGTTCCTTTAATGGAAAGATCCAGAATGGACAACAAATGCACATTTATTGAGAAGCAAAGCAAACAAGTCTGGGAGAAAGACCATGGGGATCAACCCCAAAATGATGTTTTGATTGCTTGCAGACAGAAAGAACTACCCAGACATGTCCACACCATCGAAGAACTTCAATAGTTATTGCAACCAGTTCTTTTTCATGGTTCAACCAACGAAAGAGTCAAACAACAATGAACAATGCTTTTATTTGTGCTCATATGAATTTTTCCAGAAATGCATCACACAGTAAACAGCTGATGTACCACAAAACATAAATAAATACCAAAAACCACAATGTTTAAATAGGTCCAAACAAATAATCAGATACCTATGGGACACCACTTACGATCTATACACCAGTAAAGGCACTCCCGCTGTGTCTGCAGGGCTTAACCCTATAATATACAAATAGAAGGAAACAAAAAAATGAAGTCACTCAAACCACAAGTGGGTGAGTGAAAGCTGGACAGTAGGTAAGTATCTTGTTTAAATAACTTAAGTTTAGCTGGATCAACACTAAATGTACATATATACCCACGTATCTCAAAACTAGAAACAAAATAGGAAAATGACTAGCCTCATAAGGCTTCTCCACTAACTCATAGGGTCATCCAGTAAATTGCTTAAACTAATTGATGCTTTATTACACATAGGCTGTGCCCTTCACTCACTATCACCATAACCAGGCCATACACTCACACTTCCCATGCCCAGGCCATATCATACACTCACTCTCCCCATGCACATACTATACAGTCACTCTCCCTGTACCCAGGCCACACACTCACTCTCCCCATACCCAGGCCACACACTCACTCTCCCCGTACCCAGGCCACACACTCACTCTCCCCGTACCCAGGCCATACACTCACTCTCCCCGTACCCAGGCCATACACTCACTCTCCCCGTACCCAGGCCATATAGTCACTCTCCCTGTACCCAGGCCATATAGTCACTCTCCCTGTACCCAGGCCATATAGTCACTCTCCCTATGCCTAGGCCATACACTCACTCTCCCCGTACCCAGGCCATATACTCAATCTCAATCTCCCCAGGCCATACACACAGGCTGTGCCCCTCACTCACTCTCCCCATGCCATACACACAGGCTGTGCCCCTCACTCTCTCTCTCTCCCCAGGCCATACACACAGGCTGTGCCCCTCACTCTCTC